CTGCTGCTGCTGCACTACCGCCTGTAGCAACAGACACAAGCATGGTTAACGTCTGCTGCTGCTGCACTACCGCCTGTAGCAACAGACACAAGCATGGTTAACGTCTGCTGCTGCTGCACTACCGCCTGTAGCAACAGACACAAGCATATGGTTAACGTCTGCTGCTGCTGCACTACCGCTTGTAGCAACAAATGTGAGCACGGTCACTTTGATGTCACGCGGTCGTTCAGTATTTCTCATTCCACATCTTGCAGAAATCCCAAAGAAACGGGGCACATTTAGTGATTTACTCGTTAGCCAGATCACACGATAGGTGCTACATACAGCTATTTCTACGACACAATAACAATATTTCAGTAATGGCATTTGTGTTATCTTTGTTCGAAATCTACACCTAGCATGTCTTACAAGTTCTTTATTGTAGGTACTGTAGGAAAATGGCTTCAGTGCAGAGCTGACTATGCTGGCTACGACAACAACCAGGATGATTACTGGGCTGACAAACCGCCAGGTGGCCTGCCAGAATATGCCAGGCCTGATCCCTGTCATTTCCTCAAGATCGTCAGAAAACCTTCAAAAGCAAACATCAGATATAAACCACGACACCTTTGCCCACACCTTGGGCAGTATCACATTTAAACAAGTTATTGAATGCTTGTGAATATCTGCTCAATACAAGTGTATTTTGATAAGGGAGCAATCACAATGCAATTTCATGATTGTTTAACCACACCATATCACTTCTCACACCTCAATCACCACATGATGCTCCACCGCTCCCCATCCATCTCCACATCATGGCTCCACCTCTCCCTATGCATCCCCACATCACGACCTAGCGCTCATCTACTATTATGCCAGGTTCCCCTCTCTCCTCCATTAAAACAACACGTTCCACCATTTCATTACCACATACCGTTTCCATCCGTATATGTAGATAACCCCGATCATCTCCATGAATGCGACAACAGACAGCCCGAATGATGCGCTGAACGTGTCGAACAGCCCGACCCAGTACTCTCCCGCACACGTCACGAAGATCATGCCAACTAACAGTGCCGTACTACACACGACAGCTACAAGAGTAAGAAACGTACTTTTAGCCATCGGCGTCTAGAGATGGCATTTTCACACACCACAAACAATGAACAGACTTCGGCAGCAAATAGCTAGCTAGTACAGTCATCCCCGCAGTCATCCCAACCATGAAAATGTCCAGATTCAGTAGTTTTTGGGGGTTAAGCGATGAACACATTTCCAGTC